ATTATATGGCTATTCTATTTTTAGTTTTTTGAGTAACATCTATACTGTTTTCCATAGTGGTTGCACCAATTTACATTCTCACCAACCATGCACAAGGGTTCCCTTTTACCAACATCCTCATCAATGCTTTTTTTTTTTTTTAATCTTTTTGATAATAGCCATTCTAACAGTGTGAAGTGATATCCCTTTGTGCCTTTGATCTGCATTTCCCTGACTGGTGATGTTGAAAATTTTCTCATGTATTTGTTGGTTATCTGTGTCTTCCTTGGAACAATATCTATTCAGATCTTCTACCCATTTTTTAATCAGATTGCTTTTTGGCTATTGAATTGTATGAGTTTTTCACATATTTCATGTATTAGCCCCTTATCAGATACATGATTTACAAATATTTTCTCCCACTCAGTAGGATGCCTCTTCATTTTATTGATGGTTTCCTTTGCTGTACAGAAGATTGTTAGTTTCAGATAGTCCCATTTGTTTATTTTTGCTTTTGTTGTTTTTTTTTGCTTTTGGTGTCGGGTTCAAAAAATCATTGCTGAGACCTATGTCAGGGAGACTACTGCCTAGGTTTTCTTCTAGGAGTTTTATGGTTTCAGGTCTTATGTTCAAGTCTCTAATCCATTTTGAGTTAACTTTTATATGTGATGTAACATAGTGGCCCACTTTCATTCTTTTGCATGTGGCTGCCCAGTTTTCCCAAAACTATTTATTAATGACCCTGTCCTTTAAACATTGTATATTCTTGACTCCTTTGTCATAAATTAATTGACCATATATGCATGGGTTTATTTCTGCACTATTTTGTTCTATTGATCTACGGGTCTGTTTTTAATGCCAATACCATACTATTTTAATACAGCTGTGTAATACGGTTTGAAATCAGAGAGCATGATGCCTCCAGCTTTGTTCTCTTTCTCAAGAATGCTTTGGTTATTTGAGGTTTTTTGTGGTTCCACACAAATTTTAGAATTCTTTGTTCTGTTTCAGTGTAAAATGCCATCAGAATTTTCAAGGTATTTCAATGAATCTGTGTATTGCTTTGAGTAGTATGGACACTTCAACAGTATTAATCCTTCCAACCCATGAGCATGGAATATTCTTCCATTTATTTAAGTTCTTTCATTAGTGTTTCCTATATATCAACACACAGGTCTTTAACGTGCTTGGTAAATTTATTTTTAGGTACTTTACTCTTTTTGATGCAGTTGTAAATGGAACTGTTTTCTTAATTTCTTTTTCTGATAATTTGCTATTAGTGTATAGAAATGCAACCAATTTTTGTGTGACTTCATATTCTCCAACTTTACTGATTTATTAATTCTAATAGTTTTTTTTATAGTCTTCAGGACTTCATATATATAATACTATGTCATCTTCAGATAGTGAGTTTTACTTCTTCCTTTCCAAATTAGATGCCTTTTATTTCCTATTCTTGTCTAATTGCTCTGGCTAAGACGTCCAATACTAGGTTAAATAAAAGTGGTAAAAGTGGGCATTTCTGGTCTTGTTCCTGATATCAGAGAAAAAGCTTTCAGTTTTTCACTGCTGCATATGGTTAACTGTTGGCTTGTCATATATGGCCTTTACTATGTTGAGGTACATTCCTTCTATGTCCACTCTGTTTTTATCATAAATAGATGTTTAATTTTCTTTTAAAATTATATATTAAACTATTATTAAAATTCATTTGTCTTCCCCAAATATTTACTAACTGACTTTGGAAACAGTAGATAATGAAAGAAACTCAGCCAGAAAGGGAGAATTAATTATGAGGATGGGCTTGACTTTTTCAGGGAGTTAACAGCAGAGTGCAGCAGAGTGCAGGCTGCAAATTTTTGCAGAAGACAATGGACAGACTGTAATTCAGATACCACTCTGTCTTGACTTGAAAAAGAATCCTAGATGATTATGCTTTATTAAAAATGTAGCTAATTAGGAGCCACTTCCTCATAAATGTTAATGTTAACAATTTTACATATATAGTTATTATTTCATTAAATGAAATACTTGAGACTAATTGCTTTTCTGGATCATTTTTAAATGCTTACTACACATGTCAGGTTCTGTGCAGTGCATGCCTACATTATTTTGGGAGGTAAATTTTATTATTCCCATGTTTTGAAGGCAAATCAAACTGAGCAGTGAACTATCATACCCATTACTAAGCAATTAAGCCAAGATGTATACTCAGGTTTAACTTCAACATCTATTCCCCAATACAATCCTACCTCATGGTTTTGCTTACATATTACTTATGTACTCATTTAAAAATTGAGTGATATATGTAGTAACCAAAAGGATACAGAGTACCTCACATTGGTAATAAAGTTAGATGGAATAAAATGCTGCTTCTGGCATTTATTTTTGAAAATTGGTCAAACATGTCCACAAATATTGTTGCCAAAGTGTACTTTGTGAAGTGCAAAAGAGTAGTAGTTCAAGCATGGGATGTGGAGCTGAGGATTCAATTCTGAATCTATCACTTATCTGCTCTGCGCCCTTGGACATTTTTTCACTTGTTTTTGGTTGTCTAAAATAGGATTCATTTGTAATAACTGTACTGATACATCTAACACCTGTGAACATTAAATGAGTTTAATACATGTGAAGCATTAGACACATAAGCACTCAAAAAATGCTGGCTCATGTTGTCCAAGTCCAAAGGCTTATTTCGCACTTCCATTCTTTCTTTTTTCAAATAGACTTTTTTTTTTTTTTAAGAGGAGTTTAAGATGCACAGCAAAACTAAAAGCTACACACTTCCAATATACCACCTGGTCTACACATGTGTAAGCTCCTCTATTATTAACATCACCCACCAGAGTAGTACATTTATTACAAATGAAGAACCAACAATGACACATCATTATCACCCAAAGATCATAGTTCACATTAGGGTTCACTATTGGTGTCGTAAATTTTGGGGACTTTAATAAATATAGAAGCATTTTTATCTACCATTTTAATATCAATATCCTCTGCTCCATCTATTCCTCTCTCCAGCCCTAAATCTTGGCCATTACTGATCTTTACTATTTCCAGTCTTCCCCTTTCCAGAATGTCATATAGTTTGAATCATACAGTATGTGACTTTTTCAGATTGACTTATTTTACTTGGTTATGTGCATTAAAGCTTCCTTCATATCCTGTAATGGCTTGAGAGTTCATTTCTTCCTAGCATTAGATAATATTCTATTGTGTGGATGTACCACAATTTATCCCCATCACCTACTAAAGCACATCATGGCGTCTTCCAAGTTTTTGGCAATTATGAATAAAATCACTAAAATATCTGTGTGCAGGTTTTTATGTGGACACAACTTTTCAACTCATTGGGTAAATATCAAGGAGCAATTGTTGGATCTTATAGTAAGAATGTTTAGGTCTATAAGAAACCGCCAAACTGTTTCTCAAAGTGACTGTAACCTTTTGCATTCCCACTAGCAATTAATGAGAGTTCCTGTTCCACATCTTCCCAAGAATCTGGTGCTGTCTGTGGTTTTTATTTTAGTCACTCTAGTAGGTATATAATAGTATCTCATTATTGTTTTATGCTCCTTTTGTGAAACCCAACGTTTATGACTGAGAAATTCTTTTACCCCAAAGAATAGCATGGTTATGTGGACTAGGGCTGAAAACTATATACATCTGGGTTAAAATCTAAATATTTATGGTTTTGTTTTGTTTAGATTTTATTTATTTATTTGACAGAGATCACAGGTAGGCAGAGAAGCAGGCAGAGAGAGAGGAGGAAGCAGGCTCCCCACTGAGCAGAGAGCCCGATGCGGGGCTCGATCCCAGTACCCTGGGATCATGACCTGAGCCGAAGGCAGAGGCTTTAACCCACTGAGCCACCCAGGCGCCCCAATATTTATGTTTCTAAGCCTTTTCATTGTGTAGTTTTTTACCACCACCACCCCCATGTTTCTTTGTGAATTACTGTCCCTTCCACAAAGTCTTTCAACAATATTTTGTAGTCAAAGGAAACTACAACTGCGTAGAAAAATCAAAATAGGCTAAGATAATGGGGGGGGGGGCGGGATTACTAAGTATTATTAACCTCATTAGCTACTTAGGACCAATTTGGGAGTACCTTTTCACATTCTCCACAGCCTTACTTGACCTTTACGACCGAGGCTGACTACATTACCCTTGTGACAACATAGTTTGAGTGTACACATAGTTGTTGGAAGCAAGAACATTAGTTAAGTCTAACTTTTAAACTTCTTGTCAACTCAGTACAGAAAGACTACAAGAATCTAGTTTCCTAAACAAGTAAAATGAGGTTGGAATCATATATAGTGGTAACAGGTTCGGACCATTCCACCATAAGATTTCCAAGGCCTTGACTCTTTAAAAACACAATCTCTGCCTGGGTCTCACGGAGCTTCTAAAACACGGTCCAGAGGATGGACCCGAGTATTGGTCCTTCTTAAAAGTTTCCCACGCAACTGAAGAGCAGCCGGCTTAGAAAAAAGTGGTTTAAGACGGCCTGTGCCCTAGAAGAGAATCTTCTTATGCTCACAGAGGATACTTTTGACTAGAACCGCACCACACGCCCAAAGCGCCTATGGCAATGCACACTGTGAGGAGCCAGACAAAATTCCCGGCTTTCTTGTGCATCTAGACAAGGCTCTTATTCCGTTCCACGCCCGGCCGTATCCCCGGAGCACCGCGAATTTGTGAAACTGCCAGCTGGGCCCAACTGCCCCACCCCGAGCCAGAAAGACCACAGTTACGCCCAAGAAAGATGGACCTCCTTCACAGCATCAGCGGCGGAACTGTAGGCACCGCGATTTCCTATTAGGAAGAGAGAAGAAGGGCAGACCACAAAGAACCACCACACCGACCGGTACCAAAGCTCCAAAAACCCGGGACTTAAGAGCGCTCCGACTTGGCCGGAAGTGACGCGAGTAGCCACCACGCAAGGCAGTCCCAAGGGAGAGGAGAGCGGGAGGGGGAGCGTGCAGGGGCTGGGGGCGGGGCGCGGCCGTAGCTCCGTTTCCGGTGGCTCGTCGCGCTCGCTCACTCCAGCTGCAGCCACTCTTGCCCGTGGCTGCTTCCTCCATCCTGGTATTTTTTGGAGCCTCCATCCTGGTTCTTCCAAAGTGCCCGGACCCAAAACAGGAAGTAAGTGCGATGGAACCTTCAGGTCCCAACCGCCGCCAGGGCCGCTCCGCCCAGTGGAGCCTGTCCGGCCCCCTTGCTGCCAGTGTGTTCCCGCCGGCCGGCGCAGGCTGTGGGCACTCGGGCTCCGCGGGCGGGGTCGGAGCTGGGCCTTCATGACGCTGAAGCTGCAGTCCCCGCACGCTCAGGCCAGGGCCTCCCTCTCAGGGCCCGGCCCGCGTTGGTGGCTCGGGCTAGAGAGTCGGGTAGTGAGCGGCCGCCGAGGCGCAGCAGCGATCCGGCGGGGGCGGAAAATGGCGGCGGCTTCGGTGGAGCTAAATGGCGCCGGGACCCCTGGGGGTGGGGTGGGCCGGCAGCTTCGGTAGAGAATTGGGCACGAGAATGCGGAGAGTAAGGAAGCCTTAGTTGCTTTCTCGTGGTGTTCCTTTTTGGGGGGTTTTTGTTACCTTTTTGGTTTTATGTGGTCTAGTGAAGGAGAGGTGGGCTTGAGCGAGTTGGGCGGGTCTCGTCCACCGCCCTCCCTTTTTTTTTCTTTTACCTTGTTTGCGTCTTAGACTCTTCCATCTTCTGGGATTCGTTCTAGCTCTGCTGTTCAAGGCCCATGCAGAGGCAGTCGAGGTTGCTGGCCGCACTATCTCGGTCAGCCTCTCTTAAAACGAGGGTCTAGGACTGACTGCGGAGGGGAGAGTGTCCTCGTCGAGCAGAGAACCGTAAAAGGCGTCTGCAGAGTAGTAGTTGTCCTATTTTGCTGAGTTCTGAGGAAGTTTTTAAATTTTTTCGTCATCTTGTCCTTTACAATAGACTTTGTTTTGACCCAGTCTCTGGCGTAGATTTGGGAGTAGAGGTGGCCAAGTGCCGTGCCATGCAGTTGAATGATACAGCATCTGTTTTTATAATAAAAATACTCGGCGAAGATGAGGAGAGGGTGAAAATTATATGGAATGTAAGTCAGTAGTCCCTCTCTTTTTCCATGTTTGAATCTGGAAATTCAGATTCAGTGTGTGGTTGCTTTTATCGTAACTTGATTCATCGTCGTGTTCCTCTTGACAGTAGGCGAGGCTGCTTGTTGGGACATCCGACAAAATTCAGAGTCTGTAGGGTGACTTTCGAATATGCCGTGTTTTAAGAACAGAATAATACCATTTCGAAATTTTTTTTTAATCTTTTCCTAATTTTATCTTTATTTTTAATTCGTGCAAGGCGATTAACCATTTATAGCTTTTAAGCTCCAGCCCAAGTAAGAAACTATTCTTCCATTGTGTTGAAAGTTTTACAAACGGGATATCTTTTTTTCTTTTTTAGTTAAAGGTTTTCATATTTTTTAGTGGTGGTCCTTTATTTGATCCGGCTTTAAAGTTGTTTCTAATAATCTTTTTAGTATTACTGTTTTTGTTTGTTTGTTTGTTTGTTTAGTAATTTGAATAATTACCACCACTTTAACATTTAAAGATTCTTTGGCGATAAATACCAAAAACTTAGCGTTTTACTCTGGTGGTGTAGTGATAAAAGCGCATTTATTAGGTTAAGATTCAGAAATGTAGTTAAGATTTAGGAAAAAACAAATATGCAGTTCCTTACCAAAAAATAGGCTGTCTGAGAAAAATTTGGTGTGAGAATAGTTGCTGTTTTTTCATTCACCAGGGACAAAACAGCTTGAATTTGTATGGAAAAAAATTACAGTTATGAAAAATACATTTCATGTTTATCTCATTATTTTTACTTCCATATACTTTTGTGCGACCAAGAAGCTAATTTTTATCTTTTTAAAATTTTTTTATTTTTTTACTAGTTGATAGGCTTACCCCAAAATACGCTTTTGGGGACTGATCGAGAACCTGCCTTTTCTGCGTGACTATCTATTTGATTGTAGTTGAGATAGATGGTGGAGCCAAATGCTATTGCCCTGTCTTCATCAGTAAGTATCGGGCATTGCATACTTGCTTAGAACTTTAAGTTCATACTTTGAGCAGTTAGACAAATAAATATATATCGTATAAGTATTTTCCTCAGAACGTAAAGATTTTAGAAATATTTTGAGGGGAAGCAATCACAAGACTGTTTTGGAGTTAGGATTTGATCTTCGAAAGCAGAGTATGGCTGGGATGTGGTTACTAATAGAGAGTTCTATCAAGAAGGCAGATGTCCTTGAATCTTTTTTAAATTCCCTTTTTTAAGGTTTTTGTTTGTTTAAGACAGCAGGTTTATCTGATTTCACCCTGAGGCAATGGGAGAGAGAAGTGTATTTGTAAGGTTAGATATTGCTGGTTAGAATTGAAATAAAAACAGCAGAAGCTTATTTTTCTTTTTTTTTTTTTTATTCACTTCATTTATCTCTCCAGCATCTACAGACCCTCGTTTTTATTAATGTTATAATAAAATTGTATGTTCTGACAATAACTCCACGTTATTATAAACAGTTGCTTTTGTCATGCTCCATTAAGTACATTGGCTTAGTTAACACCTGTGAGGATGAACACACTAATGTGAAACACTAGCATCCCTAGGGGTTTACAACCTGGCATATTGATGTTAAAAACTGAGGAGGGCTGGGAAGTGTTTTTTGAAACACTGAGCTTCTAGATCATTTTGAACACAACATTTGTAATTGTTGCAGGGACAGCAAAACTTTAGAACACTAATGAAGTTTAGGAAGAGTTGTACATTTTATGTCTTAGATGCTACTTATGGGATGTTTATCTTCTTAAAATGGAGTTCTGTTTTTAACAGTCAGTCTTCTCTTACTGCCCTAACGTGTAATACTTTTTTTCCATATAAAAGGTTTGCCTAGCAATTGGTGTACCTCTAAATGCTGTGCTATTTCAGTTCCAAAGCCTTTTTTATCCTCAAATGATAGGAAATGACCTGAGAAAGTTAATAACTTTATTGCTTTGTTAATGATAGATTTATTAAATGTATGTGGTATTTGTTTGCTTTCATATCATTTCCCCCCCCTTCTTTTCCTTTTGTGAAGAGAATTCTTGTAAGAGAAGTCACAAATAGGTTTGCTTTGATTCCATAAAGATAAATAAAAGAAGGAACCTGTTTATCATGTCTGCTGCTTCAAGTTTGTGGAAATACACCCCATTCCATGACTGAATTCCAGAAAGAAGTTGTCAGGAAAAAGCACACTGGAGATAGTTTTTAATTTTTTTTAAGCTGTCAATTTGGTTATGTACACTCTTGTCAGGCCATTTTTCCAAGCACTGGGTTGTCTACAGTAATCTTTATTTACCATCACATACTATGTAGCAAAAGAAATGCTCATTATGTTTATTTACTGCTTATGTGTATGTTACTATCTGTCAAGAAAGTGTGCTTTAAAAATAAACATCAGTGTAAATCAGAGGACTATGGAGATAATTTGATATATTTCCATTTAAAGAGTTTCTGATGGTTCCTTGCATAAAGTGCTCAGTTTTGAATGGATAAAATTTTTAAATGTAGCCAAATACACATGGTTATAAGCTCGTAAATCATGCAGTGCATGAAAAATAGTCTTTCTTTTTAATCAACAATATGATTTTATTGTCAAACCAGGTATGAAATGCTGCACTTTGAAATGAACCGTACTACCAAGTAATTCTCTTTGATAATAACATTGTTTTTCAGTAGTTGGTTAATTGGGGGTGCCTGGGTAGCTCAGTCAGTTGTCTGCCTTCTGCTCAGGTCATGATCCCAGGTCCTGGGGATTGGGCCCTGCTTAGGGCTTCCTGCTCAGTGGGGAGTCTGCTTTTCCCTCTCGGCCTGCCTCTCCCCCAGCCTGCGAGGTCACTCACTCTCTCTCTCAAATAAAATTTAAGAAGAAAATAGTTGGTAGTTGAAATCAACAGCTTAAGCAACTAAAGCCTTTTATAATAAACTGCACAAATAATTTTGACACGGTGTATAGTCATATTTTGTCACCTCAAAACTAAGCTGTTAGGATCATTAGTTACCTTAGTCTAGTATGCTTTATGTTCTTTATAGCTTTGCTTCTCAAACTCTTCACAAAGTGTATAGAAGAGCAAATCCCTACGGGCCTGGAACCACCATCCAAAGCATTCAACCTCAGTATGAAGTGTCCTGTTCCTGTCTTAAATAAAACCAGTGTTCTGCATCTTTCTCTTCTGCCAGCGATCTGTGTACCCATGTTCAGGATACAGGCATTTGATCTTGATTCTTTTCACTAAGATTTTCTAATTAGCAAAGAGTTTTATTTCAAAATATCTTAAAACATATCCTTTAATTATTTATTACATATTCTGGAGGAAATCCATTTTATAAGCATTTCCTAAGGCATTAATTACATGCAATGATAGATATGGTTGTGGTCAGTATGGGGTCTTCATAATAGCACAACCTCAAACAAAAGTTCATTTATAGGATAATGGTTAGATAAATTTAGATAGCATGCACCCATTAAAAATGCTATGGAAAAATAAGTAGAACTATTGGAAAATACTCCCAATAAAGTAAGTGCAGGAAAAAGTTCAAAAGAATGGACAGTATGTTTGGAAGATCATCACAAAATGTTACAGTGGAATATATGAATAACTTTCCTTATATTGGTTTAAGAAAAGACATTCGAAAATTAAATGTGGCCTTAAGCCAGAAACCTTGCATCTGTGTTTTTCAGTCAACTCATTCAATAAAATTCTAGTGTTACAAGTTCTGTAGCTTGCTTGATTACCCTGTATAAAAGTATCTTATAATGTTTAGTCTTATCATATCTTTCAGTGTAGAATCCCGACTCCAAGTTTGTAGGGTCAGCAACTTTTAGCTCCTGTGCTTTTCATGATCTCCACTAAAATATGCCCTCCCACACTTAGACAGTCAGAAACGGATACAAATTTATCTACAAAACTAATTCCCAAACTAGGGAAAAATGCATTTTTCTTGGTCGTGGTTTTTGGAAAATCTTGACACTTTACTTAGCAAATTAGGACCATTAAAGGCATACCTTAGAGATACTGCAAGTTCATTTTCAGACACTGCAGTAAAGCAAAGGTTGCAATAAAACAAGC